ATCATCATCAACCTCACAGCAGCGAAAACCTTAAGTTTCACACGGGATTTATAGATCATAATGAAAATTTATTACATACGCCTTTTTTAATTCTTTATAAAGTTGCCGTACATGACCGCATAAAATATGCATTTAATCTAAATTATGCGTCTTTAATAACGAAGATAACTCACAACATTCATTATATAAACAGAATACCATAAACCTTCAGCATAAATTGACAGGGTGATTTCAAATATATTTGAAGAAGAAATTGGTTTTATGCACAGCCAAATAGGTATAATTCATAAAGCGTATTCCAACAAAGAAGACATCTGTAACAATAACAAATACAAGAAATAATACGGCTCGTATTCCCACACACACATATTTCCCTCTTCTAAACTGAAAAGATAATCCTGAAAATTACGAAAATAAATCCTGTAATTTTCTACATTTCTTCTAAGAACATTTGTTTCGACTTGTTAGCCAATGACATCTTCCCTTTCATTATCAATGAGTGCGAGTCTGAAACGTTTTTACACTTAACTGATATTAAAATGCCAATACTTTGACAGTCTGTTCCACAGAACACTCTAACCTAACCTGTACATAAACTTCATTTCAGCTTATCTTTGCCATTCTCCATGGATATAACGTGCCAAAGCACGTGCGAATTATCAACTTACCTTCTAAGTACAACTTAACTCTGAAGTAGACGTTACAAATTGCCTTGGATGGGAACGTAAATATTTGCGGTTTAGATAAAAATAATCGGTGTAATTAACCGTCAATATGGCATCACTAATTACTGCATATATGGAAACATTTCAGTAACATCCTACTCTATGACAGGATAAGTTTCAAACATGGTCGATTCTCAAACACCATTTGTAAAACATCTGGAAAGCAGATTATGACTGACGATAGATTAACTGATATCAAGGGGCAGAAAAACAGACTGCCCATTAAAGAGTGGCAAGAAATATATTTCCTGCATAATTCGTCTAAAGCACAAACACATGACGGACTAATAAATTTTAAGTCGACTCAGAATATATAGAATGTATACAACGGACGAATAAAAATCAAATCAAACGGAAAACAAGAGTAACTCACAAAATAAACAGAACTAAATATTGGCAGTGATATTCTCACCACTGGATGAAACAGTTGCACGACAAAAAATATATTACAGGAGTAACACGAAACATTTAAAGTCGAAGCTCATCTAAATAATACTCAGGAAAAACTAGTCTTCATTAGACATATGAAGCAGCTAATAATCGTTGTTTGCTTTCAGAATCATAAAAACAAAAATACTATCCGGGGACAAAATGCCGAGTTACTAGCCGTAAAGCAGGCGAAACATTTAATTGTCAACGGAGTTAAATTCTGTCTCCTTCTCTGTAGTTTAAAGAGAAATGATTCTCTCAGAAAGAGTTTATCCTTCAGTAACATTTCCTCATAATCTGGGGGCGCGCAGCTGACACCTCGGTAGAAAAAGGGCGTAAATGTCATGACACGGAACATAAATCCTCTCCTGTCTAATGTCTAACTCCACGTCATCACAAACGAGGTCCTTAAGACCCAAACCTAACGCTATAGAACTAAACTGGTGCCGAGTGAATACCGCTGTCAAAATTTCTATTCACCGTGTTCAAGTTTGGTTTATAATTTCTAGATCTTCATTGCTTTTGATACGTTCAGAGATCGCATATTACAACAGCATACAATAGGAGAAAGCATAACTACTGCGTAAATTCCCTATAACTTGGATGGGTTTAATTCAACTGAACACTACTGGTTACTCAAGAACCGACAATTTTGAATTAGACAGAACGGCAACAAATACGTGACAAAAAAATGAGTTATTACATAATAAACATGCAAGAAGGAAACCGAGCATCATAATGTGAATACTTGTGTGAAGACCGGGATATAGCCGAAATGTTTCACATGATGTTCTGTCATCTCGAGGTACTCCACACTAAGCTTGCACCAAGTTTCATACCCATATAACCTGCAATGTAATTATTGTGTAAAGCCCCATTCCAAGGGAATGGATCACCAGGAGACAAAGAAGACAGAGGTTGTGCGGACTACAGCACCTGGCATCAGCTTACCCAGTTAATTAAACGGATATCCCTTATACAGGGACGCACCTCGTCCTGCGAGCAACGGACCAACACCAGGACTTCCCCATTAGCTCAAATGTCATCATACACATTATCCTTCCGTCACAGATGAACTTAATTGGTTATCAGAAAATACCATCGTCTAACTCAATCATTAAAAAGTTGATGAAAATCAGAACAAACATTCAATAGCTCTTTCTATATACGTATATGCAAACAGAATGGTGGAAAAAATAAGAGCTTACTTTAAACGAAAACGCATTTTTCATGTCTGCACTAAAAAATATCTTTACAAACCCACACATATTCGAAATGGCCGCCTTCTATACTGATATAAATTTGTAGCCTTGCATGGCCAGTGTGTCCTGACTATTCACCACTCTAGAAATAAAGCCTTTAGGGCTGGGGATACGAAATAGACTTAATTTTGATCAAAATACCCTCAACGCCACATTTGTTTTATTTTAGACATGGCCGGAGATAGAACAACTGCAAGCGGTCTCATACGTCGGATGCCAAATTAACGTTGTTAGTGATTCTCATTAGAACCGGCAGACAGAAGCATAACTGTGTTTGCTTAGAGTCAACTTGGAGTCGCATTCTGTGTGCAGCTCCAGAGTTACAGCAAATTAACAGCTTACAATTTCGGGCTCAGAGCGCACCGTCCGTTTCCTCACGACTTCATCTTAGCGTGACATTTGTCACAATCACATTACCAGCTCACATACAAATGATAATGAACTACGTGACTTGTTCACGATTTTCGGAGCATTAAAGCAAATAAAATCAACACTTAAAATAGTAGGAAGAACTTACAAAACAAATATTCCTCAATATACGCCTATATATGGCGTTATAAAAATAAGTGTCGCTCCTACTATAAGATCGCATGGCCGCCATGTTCGTACAAAGTTGGAAAAGTAGAAATATGTCGAAAAGTAAGATGGTCTCTTAGTGTCATGAAGTTTCAGAGGTTTTATAACGATATATATTTGGTCTTCGTATGTTTTGTGTTTTTTCCACATGCCTTGCAACAAATAAATATCTTGTTCAAATATCAGTGAAAGGAAAGAGGATTTGCAATAACGATGTATACAAGCAGACTACAAAAGTTTTATTCTACGCAGAAAGCAGAAGGGAAAAATTCGTTATACGTCAGCTACATAAAGCTGAATAAAAGGAAGTGTATGAAATGTTATACATCATTAGTGCAGCAATCACCACTCAGTGAACTATTTTGAACACTGATAGTGCTATCGTGAAGGAGTTATAACTAAATAGCTGCTCTGCGAATCAAATTTTAACCGGGAACTCTGAAAATTAAAAAATAATACGACACTCGAGACGACTGCCACTGAATCAGAAGACAGAATCAGCGCAGAAATCATTTAATTTCTTGTTAATCAATTATTCACGTCAGAATTTCTTCCACAACTTTCTGGCCACTCATTTTGTAATTTCAATTTTAAAAAAACAAAATACACCTAAAAATCGTGCTGGTTATGGGATTTCAATTACAATACACTGCCCTGTCTATTTAGGACTAACCAAAAAATAATTCACTTCAAACAGAACACTGAAATAAAGCTCTAGCTAACTTAACTTTTCCGTAGTTCGTGGAAATTTAATATCATTTATCATGCAATTTTCAATAGTTACTACAACCGCAGAACCTCATTTCAGAAACGGAAAACATTAATGATAAATAAAGGCGTCTTTAACCCTTTAAAGCACTGTATTAACCAAATGCACCACCTGCTTCAGTCAGTGAGTGTGCATATTGTACTTATGGGCATCATAAGAACAAATAGGGATTATTTCCTTAAACTGGGTTAAATAGATGATATTTATAATGCTGAAGTGTTTTTTTTTAGCTATCGACTAAATTCTGAAATATTATTTAGAAGAAGTTCGGCTTCAAAGGGTTAACAGTCTCGATATATAGGCAACAAGTACCTCTGAAACGTCGG